TATGCTGTTTATAAGAAACTCATTTTAGACCCAAAGACATCTCCAGATTTAAAGTGAGGAGGTGGAAAACAATTTACCATGCTAATGGACATTCAAAGAAAGCTGGGGTGGCAATCTTTATATCAGATAAATTAGATTTTAAGCCAAAGACTATAATAAGAGATGAGGAAGGACACTATATCATACTCAAAGGGTCTGTCCAACAAGAAGATCTAACAATTTTAAATGTCTATGCCCCTAACATGGAAGGAGCCAACTACAAAAACCAATTAACAAAATCAAAGTAACACATCGACAATAATACAACGATAATAGGGGACTTTAACACCCCCTCACCGAAATGGACAGGTCATCCAAGCAAAAGATCAAAAAGGAAATAAAAGCGTTAAGTGACACACTGGACAACATGGACATCACAGATATATTCAGAACATTCCATCCCAAAGCAACAGAATACACACTCTTCTCTAGTGCACATGGAACATTCTCCAGAATAGATCACATCCTGGGTCACAAATCAGGTCTCAATCGGTATCAAAAGATTGGGATCATTCCCTGCATATTTTCAGACCACAATGCTCTGAAGCTAGAATTCAATCACAAGAGGAAATTTGGAAAGAACCCAAATACATGGAGGCTAAAGAGCATCCTACTAAAGAATGAATGGGTCAACCAGGGAATTAAAGAAGAATTGAAAAAATTCATAGAAACAAATAATAATGAAAACACAACTGTTCAAAATCTGTGCGACCCAGCAAAGGCAGTCCTGAGAGGAAAATATATAGCAATACAAGCCTTTCTCAAGAAACAAGAAAGGTCTCAAATACACAGCCTAACCTTATACCTAAAGGAGCTGGAGAAAGAACAGCAAAGAAAGCCTAAACCCAGCAGGAGAAGAGAAATCATAAAGATCAGAGCAGAAATCATTGAAATAGAAACCAAAAAAACAACAGAACAAATCGATGAAACTAGGAGCTGGTTCTTTGAAAGAATTAACAAGATTGATAAACCCCTGGCCAGACTCATCAAAAAGAAAAGAGAAAGGACCCAAATCAATAAAATCATGAATGAAAGAGAAGAGATCACAACCAACACCAAAGAAATACAAACAATTATAAGAACATGTTATGAGCAACTATACGCCAGCAAATTTGACAATTTGGAAGAAATTGATGCATTCCTAGAGACATATAAACTACCACAACTGAACCAGAATGAAATAGAAAACCTGAACAGACCCATAACCAGTAAGGAGATTGAAGCAGTCATCAAAAATCCCCCAACAAACAAAAGAGCCCAAGGCCAGATGGCTTCCCAGGGGAATTCTACTATGCATTTAAAGAAGAATTAATTCTTATTCTCCTGACACTGTTCCAAAAAATAGAAACGGAAGGAAGACTTCCAAACTCATGTTATGAGGCTAGCATTACCTTAATCCCAAAACCAGACAAAGACCCCATCAAAAAAGAGAATTATAGACCAATATCCTAGATAAACACAGATGTGAAAATTCTCAACAAAATACTAGCCAATAGGATCCAACAAATCCAATAAAAGGATTATTCACCATGACCAAGTGGGATTTATTCCAGGACTGCAAGTTTAGTTCAACATCCACAAATCAATCAGTGTGATACAATACATTAATACAAGAAAGAACAAGAAACACATGATACTCTCAATAGATGCTGAAAAAGCATTTGACAAAGTACAGCATCCGTTGCTGATCAAAACTCTTCAAAGTGTAGGGATAGAGGGTACATACCTCAATATCATCAAAGCCATCTATGAAAAACCCACAGCAGCTATCATTCTCAATGAAGAAAAACTAAGAGCTTTTCTGCTAAGGTCAGGAACACAGCAGGGATGTCCATTATCACCACTGCTACTCAACATAGTACTAGAAATCCTAGCCTCAGCAATCAGACAACAAAAAGAAATTAAAGGCATCCAAATTGGCAAAGAAGTCAAACTATCACTCTTTGCAGATGGTATGATACTTTCTGTGGAAAACCCAAAAGACTCCACTCCAAATCTGCTAAAACTTATACATGAATTCAGTAAAGTGTCAGAATATAAAATCAATGCACAGAAATCAGTTGCATTTGCATACACCAAAAACAAGACAGAAGAAAGAGAAATTAAGGAATCCATCCCATTTACAATTACACCCAAAACCATAAGATACCTAGGAAGAAACCTAACCAAAGAGGCAAAGAATCTGTACTCAGAAAACTACAAAGTACTCATGAAAGAAATTGAGGAAGACACAAAGAAATGGAAAAATGTTCCATGCTCCTGGATTGGAAGAACAAATATTGTGAAAATGTCTATGCTACCTAAAGCTACCTACAGGTTTCATGCAATCCCTATCAAAATCCCATCCATTTTTTTCAAAGAAATGGAATAAATAATCCTAAAATTTATATGGAACCAGAAAAGACCTCGAATAGCCAGAGGAATGTTGGAAAAGAAAGCCAAAGTTGGTGGCATCACAATTCCAGACTTCAAGTTCTATTACAAAGCTGTCATTATCAAGACAGTATGGTACCGGCCCAAAAACAATCACATAGATCAATGGAACAGAATTGAGAGCCCAGAAACAGACCCTCAACTCCATGGTCAACTAATCTTCAACAAAGCAGGAAAGAATGTCCAGTGGAAAAAATACAGTCTCTTCAACAAATGGTGTTGGGAAAATTGGACAGCTACATGCAAAAGAATGAAAGTGGACCATTTCCTTACACCACACACAAAAATAGACTCAAAATGGATGAAAGACCTCAATGTGAGACAGGAATCCATCAAAATCATTGAAGGGATCACAGACAGCAACCTCTTCGACTTCAGCCACAGCAACTTCTTCCTAGAAACATGGCCAAAGACAAGTGAAGCAAGGGCAAAAATGAACTATTGGGACTTCATCCAGATCAAAAGCTTTTGCACAGCAAAGGATACAGTCAACAAAACGAAAGACAACTGACAGAATGGGAGAAGATATTTGCAAATGACATATCAGATAAAGAGCTAGTATCCAAAATCTAGAAATAACTTATCAAACTCAACACCCAAAGAACAAATAATCCAATCAAGAAATGGGCAGAGGACATGAACAGACATTTCTGCAAAGAAGACATCCAGATGGCCAAGAGATGCATGAAAAATGCTCCACATCACCCGGCATCAGGGAAATACAAATCAAAACCGCAGTGAGATACCACCTCATACCAGTCAGAATGGCTAAAATTAACAAGTCAGGAAACGACAGATGCTGGCAAGGATGCGGAGAAAGGGGAACCCTCCTACAATGTTGGTGGGAATGCAAGCTGGTGTAGCTACTCTGGAAAACAGTATGGAGGTTCCTCAAAAAGTTGAAAATAGAGCTACCCTATGACCCAGCAATTGCACTACTGGGTATTTACCCTAAAGATACAAATGTAGTGATCTGAAGGGGCATGTACACCCGAATGTTTATAGCAGCAATGTCCACAATAGCCAAACTATGGAAAGAACCTAGATGTCCATCAACAGATGAATGGATAAAGAAGATGTGCTATATATATATATATATATATATATATATATATATATATATATAGTCTTTCTTTGTCTTTCTTTGATTGACTTATTTCGCTCAGTATAATACCCTCTAGTTCCATCCATGTCATTGCAAACGGCACATAGTATTCCATCATAAATGTATATATGTATATATACATATACATATATACATATACATATACAATTATCATATGCTCTCCCTGATATGAAGAATTTGAGAGGCAACGGGCAATGTGGGGGTTTGGGGGGTAGGGAAGGAAAAAATGAAACAAGATGGGATCGGGAGGGAGACAAACCACTCTTAATCTCACAAAACAAACTGAGGGTTGTGGGGGGGTAGGGAGAGGGTGGTGGGGTTATGGACATTGGAGAAGGTATGTGCTATGGTGAGTGCTGTGAAGTGTGTAAACCTGCTGATTCACAAACCTATACCCCTGGGGCTAATAATACATTATATGTCAATAAAAAATTTAAAAAATTTTAAAAATCATTAAAAAATGAAAATGAATATGGATGTTCACTAAATGACTTGAAGAAATCGCTTTCCTTATATTATTTTGTTAACTCATCTGTGCATGCTCATGTGAATTAGAAATTGGTCAAAATCAATTCTTATGACCCGATTTGCTTTGCATAAAATGCAATCAGCCAGCAACCCAGAAGGAAGAATTAACAAAGATCTAACTCTTTGTGGGAAGATGGGTAAAAATGGCCTCTTGAGGGCGCCTGGGTGGCTCAGTGGGTTAAGCCTCTGCCTTCGGCTCAGGTCATGATCTCAGGGTCCTGGGATCGAGCCCCGCATCGGGCTCTCTGCTCAGCAGTGAGCCTGCTTCCTCCTCTCTCTGCCTGCCTCTCTGCCTACTTGTGATCTCTCCCTCTCTCTCTGTCAAATAAATAAATAAAATTAAAAAAAAAATGGCCTCTTGATGTCGATGATATTACCCAAAAGGTCTGCAGCTGTTCAGAAGATACACATATACTCAACACATATATCATTGCCCTGGGGAAAATGAAGCAGAAAAAAGAGAAACATGGTTTTTACATCAGACCTGTAGGGAATGAAGCTCCAGACAGGATCACTGACTGGCCCTGTTCGAATTCCAGCAGAACGAAGACTGGCCTGTACAGCAGCTCAAAGAGTCTCCCCCATCTCAGAGAAACCATTCAGCCCAGTATTTAGTGCATAACCATGTTTTTCTTGGAAGGAACAAAGGCTGGCTTAAATGTGTAGATATTAAATATTTATTTGCAAGGACTTCAAAACTTTCCTCCACCCACTTTTCTCATGTTAAGGAGGAGGCCAAACGGTGCTTTGGCATTCTCCAGTGGCACCTTCTCCAAGTCCAAGGACATCTGGACACAGCTGTGTCACACTCCTGGGAAGGAATGAATCACCTGAGTGTGACAGACTGTTCCCTCTGGAAAAAGACCAAGCTTACCCAAATAGTTGTTGCTCTTGTGCATCTCGGTGATGTTGATTTTGGTGGCTCCTTGGGGGATCTCGACCACGCGGTGGTAGCCCAGGCTGGTAAGGGCATGCTTGAACACGCCCGACACAACCTGACAGCCTGTGTTGTCGCCGCCGCACACCCCGCATTTGTCCACTACCTTGTCTGAGCCCAGGTAGTCGTCACAGCCAATACTCTGCAGAGAGGTGGAAAACAAAAGACTCTTGGAGCACATCACAGGAGCATGGGGGGAGACGGAGAGAGGAGGGAATGGAAGATCTTTGGTAGGTCTTGAACTGACCTCCCTCCTGCCCACCATTCAGCTCCTGCAGTGTCCAAGTGCATTCTTCCCTCACTTGACAGAGAGTCACAAAGCACCCACGCTGGGTAAGGAACTTCTTCTCAAGGTATGTGGGATACCTACACTCTGGGAGCATGGGGGAGGCCACAGACAGTAAAACACGACACGTAAATCAAACAGTATGCTTGGGGGTGGCAAATGATAAGGAGAAAAATCATGGAGAGAGAAGGAATAAGGAGACGGTGGGGACCGGTCACTTGTTTACACTAGCTGGACAGTGAATTTGTCCTGAAAATCCATCCCCCTTGTTGGACTCAGAGAAGAGACCATCTGGAATTTTTTTTTTTAAGATTTTATTTACATATTTGAGAGAGAGCATTAGTGGGGGGAGTGGCAGAGGGAGAAGCAGACTCCCCACGGAGCGGGAAACCCGGCTCAGGGCTCATTACTGGGACCCTGGGATCATGACCTGAGCCAAAGGCAGATGCTTAACTGACTGAGCCACCCAGGTGCCCCCCATCTGGGATTTTTATATAAAGTTCTTTGGGACCATGGTAAGTACTGTATCTACAATTGGGATTTGTCCCCAAGTCCTCTGTTCTAAATGACAGACTGTATAAACACTTAGCAAAGGATCCTCAGAAGTGGTACTCACAGGCCCAGTGTCTTAGGAAGTTAAAACAAATTTATTGAGATCTGGTTCTCCACTGGTCACTGGAGCTCTGAAGAGGCAGGAGCAGCAGTATTTTCCTTGGCACCCCCAACGCATTTTTCCCAGGGGTAAAGGGGGAAGGCAGGCAATGGCCAGATGATTCACATATAAATAAATAAAGGGGTGATCCTTGTTCAGACAGGCCTATCAGCCTTTAAAGGAACTCCACTGACCTTCCTGAACTTCCTCCAAAAAAGATTCTTCCCATTACTCATTCTAAGACCTTTTAGCTTTATCATTCCCCTCCCTGTTCATGTTTTCTGTTGGTACAATTTTTTTTGCATGAAAAAAAAAATTAAACCTTGGAAACAAAGTGCAGGATCATTATCTTTATGCCATCCTTTCCCACTTCTGGAGCTGATTCCATAGGGCTCATGATCATGCTTTCTGAACCTAAAATTTGGACATGTGGTCTGAGTAAAGAATTCCGTCACGTTTCTACGGGCAAATGGAAGGGAGCCAATGACAACTTGGACAATGAAGTACTGAGATGACAGGATCAGTTCACTGGGTTCTGGGGATCGGGAATGACACTTGAAGTCAGAATGGGATTCTAAAACCTGAGACACGTGTTTGCTGAATCACAGGCTGGTGCTGGTTCTCGAATTCTAAGAGTGATCATCAGACCACATCTCAGGGGGCAAAGTGGTCAACAAACCATTCAAAATCCACTTTTGGTTTTGTGAAATATCCTTGGGTCTGTTTCTGTGGGCCTTACAGGTCAAATCCTATATGCAGGGTCAAATCAGAGGGGGTTCAGGCTTTCCCCTCCAACCTCACACTTGACTGACGTTTTTCTGTAGGCACTATACTTGTACATTATTACTTCCATATTCCTGAAGGCACTTTAGTTCCTCAATAATAACTGGCCTCTTCACAAATAGCTTCTCTGTAAAACATTATTTCTGACAGTAACAGAACATCATCTCAGTATGTTCACCCATATCCAATTAACCTTCCAAAATGCCATGTTTGCTATGTATTTCTCCTCCCTCAACTATTTCTTGCCCCTGCTCCATGCACATTTTACTAGAAAAATAAGGAAAATGTTTTCCATGCATGATTTCCATCCCTGACCCCTTGGGTTCTCCTTGGCTTTGAAAGAAAGCAGGAAATAAACAAAATACCACAGGTCTCACCAAATTAAGGACAGGCCTCTGATTGTCCCTGATGGGGCAGATGGAGAGAAAAGTGGGTCGGCACACAGTCCGCTTCCTGTCTAGCAAAGCATCACCCTCCTTCCTTTGCATTCCTGCTACCCGGGGACTCAGTCTGTCCCAGACCGAGCTCATCCCCGCGGGGCACTCCAGTAAAGGGAACGCTGTGCACAAGGCGTGAGGTAGGAATGAACACACAGGAAGTAGGAAAGCATGTTCGCGGAATGACTTGGCTCCAGTGTAGGGTTGCTGGGAGGGTTGAAATCAGGCTGGAGAATTCAGCTGAAGTGTTTAAGAATCTTGGTTTCCACGATGAAGAATGAGAATTTTATCTGACAGCATCAGCAATAACCACCGGATGTCTCAAAAAAGCGAGGGCCGTGCTCGGATTTGTTTTCTGGGTGATAGCTTTGACTGTTGTGGAGAGGGTCCCAGAGTGGGGAGAACAGATAAACTAGTGAGTCTCTCTCATCTAAATAGTATGTCGGGGATATTTCAAGGATAAATGAGAGCCCTCGAAGACGAGGACGGACATCCCACGAATCCTCAGCCCCCAGCCCAATTAGAATGGGATGATCATAAGGTTGGTGTCCGACAACCACAGCTAGGCTAAATGTCATTTAATCTTGTGAAACAGATATTATATTAAAATGCTCTGCACAGTTCCATGAAGGCTCCCCCACACACCGGGTTTCCTGCGTAGCACGGCCTCTCTGGAGGAATCGAGACATAGGGAGGGAAGATTGTAGCAGTTTTTCCTGACTGACGTCCTAATGGCCTGGAGGTTGGCTTCCGTGAAGCCTGCAGCCTCACAAGTGCATCACAAGGTGACATCCTGTTTCCTCGGGGCTGGATGGTAGCTCCCTTCTGGGGTCAGTGCGGAAGACATCTCCACCACCATCCAGACCTCTGGGGACAACACCCAAAAATGAATCAGGCCAGAATTCTGGCTTGCACCTTAGGAAGCTGGTCAGTTGGTCTCTGATGGGGATGACTTAAAAATGCTGGTCTGTGTCTCCAAACTCAGAGGTGCCACCCAAGTGCCTTCTGTAGGGGCTTCAAGTGGGCGCTCGGGTCTGCTGGACCCAGGTTTTGTGCTGGCTCGGCCACTTCTCAGTGCTAATCTTTGGATGTGTTAGTTAGCCATCCTGAGCCTTCGGTGTTTTGTTGCTGGGGATGATATGTGTCTGTCTCACAGCAATGCTGGGGGAACTAATGAAGTAAACATAGAAGGCACCTAGCAAAATGCCAGAATAGGGGGATTTCTCAGAAAACATGGGGTTTTGTTATTTATTGTCTTCCTATACTGGATTTCATCAGTAACCTATCCATTTTCAAGTAAATTCTATCATCACGTAACCACAGACCCACTCCTATTTCTAGAACACTCCCTAGTACCTCCCAGTTGCAGACATTCTCTTCTTCATTTGGAGAAAGTCAGAAAAATCCAAAGAGCTAAGAAAAAAAGTCACCTTTCCCCATAAAGGTAAGGGACGTTGCATGGCCCCTTTACCCTCACTGCTCCAACAACGCCAAGTGAAAAGGGACAGGATGAACATCTGCTCCTCGATCCACCTTTATTTCATTTTTATTATTTTTTTTAACTATGTACTGCGGTTCCAAAGAGATATTTCCTGCTGTTACAAAGGCAACTGGACAACTATCAGACATCCTTAGTATTCTTCCAGTGATTTCCACAACATGTTGTAGGAGAATTTTACACGTTGCAAGCCATCACAAGAGAAATTGCTCAAGAATTACCCCCAATTGTGCGCCAAATTAACCTAAATAAAATTTCCTGATGGAGATGAGCCAACTGCATGACGTGTCTGGTGGTGGATTTCACTGGGAGGAGGCCTCTGTACGTCCTGGCAGGGTAGGCCGGTGCCAGGACTGCAGATAGTACGGCTTCTGATTCCCCGATGGGAAGCAGATGTTTCTGTGTGTGCTCAATAAACACACCAGATATGGCAACCCCAACTGGTTGGCTAGATGATGCAGACAGGTAACAAGATGTGTCTTAATAATTGTGCTCTCACAACAGGGTGAGGGAATGTTATTATTAAAATGATAAGTAGCTAACACCAATTTACTTTTATTTGTAGTAAGCTAATTTGTGGGAATACATAGATGCCAGAACTTTTATTCATGACATTCTGTTGAAAGAAGTCCTTTGCATAAGGATAAATATCTCTCTCTTATTACTATTAGGAATGTACATCAATACTACCTTCCTGGAAAGCCATTTGGTAATATATACTGTTTGACCCCAATTCTTCTACGAATTTATGTTAAGGAAGTGATAAGAAAGCAGGCCAATGATTTCTGTAGGAAGCAGCTCATCACAGTTGTTATTATCAATTAAAAAAATCAGAAACATTTTAAGTGTCCAACATAGAAAAACAGTTAAACAATATATAGAAATTCTCTGGAATTCTGAAATTCTCTGGAAAATGACCTTCAGTATCATTCAGGAAATATTTCCTGAGGCAACCCCTACTATGTGCCAATAAGTTGTAGATAAGGAGGCATGAGGGTAAAACAAACATGATTCCTACTTATGGTCTAAATCAGTGGTTGGCAAATGACAGACCACAGGCCAAATCTGGCCCACAACCTGTTTTTGTAAATAAAGTTTTATTAGAACACAAACCTGCCCATTTGTTTACTTATTGTCTAGGGCTGCTTTTGTGCTGTAACAGCAGGGTTGAATGGTTGCAACAGAGATAGCATGGCCCCCAGCACCCAAGATATTTATGATCTGGAGCTTTATAGAAAAAGTGCCAACCTCTGGACTAAATCGGAAGGTGGACATGATCCCATGATTCAGTATAGTATATCGAGGCGGGAGGGAGATGTGCAGAGCCCTGTGTGGCCAAGACTGAGGATCGGGCTAAAGTTTCCAGATTTACCTCTGCTTGCCCTCACCTATTTCCTATACGCCACCCACTTGACTTCTCCCAATCTGTCTCAACCCTAAAACAGAAGGCAAAGAGCTGCCATCTTCTACCTCACTAGTCTTCAAG